GGTGAGGACTCTCTTCTTGGCTTGAGTACAGCTTCCTGCTTGCTGTGTTCTCACAAGATAGAGAAAAAAAGCAAGTACTCTGGTGTCCTTCTCATAAGGGCACTAATTCTATCAAAGGGCCCTACCCTCAGGCCCTCATCTAATCCTAATATCCTCTCAAAGATTCCATCTATACATGATATTGGGAGACAGGACTTAAATGTATTATTTTTGAGGGGACACAGATATTCAGTATTTTCTTCATATTTGATGTTTTACAAATTAGGAAACTGAGATTAGAAGAGGTAAAATATTTTTTTTTTTTACCAAATTCCTAACAAATAAATTATAAAATTGGGATTCAAATTCAGATCTATCTACCTCTAGTGGCATAGTATTAACATTATACCAGATTGTTTCACAGAGCGCATGCATAAGAATCCAGTAATGGCTCATGTATTTGACTTTATAATTGTGCTAACACAATTTAACCAAATTCCTTATGACTGCTGGCTTGTGGGACTTGGGCCTGTGTGTGCTCTTTAAATCACAATATGATTGATGGGATACTTTAAAATATAGAGCTAACATCTGCATACTTCTTTACAGCTCACAGAGCTTGCCTGCTTCATGTCCTTCTGTCCTCATTTGCTCTCTACAACGTGATTGTTAGGATAGAGGAACAGATCTAGGCAGAAGCTGAAGGAGAGAAAGTAACAGAGGAAAGAAAGACTGAAACCCAGACCTGCTGGCTAGCACTGATGTTCCCCATCATACCCACTAGAACTGCAATGTTCTTAAGAGATCAATCACAATCGAAAAGGCCCTGTTTAGTGGGAGCTGCTTCTGCTATTATTTTATACTTCCTGAATGTCATCAGATTCATTTACTGGTTTTTCAGATAAGAGATCTGAGGGCTTGCCAGTACACCATGTTGCCTCTTTGAAGTTACCTACTTCAAGGAGAGCTCTGTGCATGAGAGAAGGGGCTTTCTAAGTGTGGTGGGTAAGAAGGGCTTGCAGTGAGAACATCCAAGCACTTGCCGGGTGGCAGCTGGTTCCACTGATATTTTAATGACTCCATCTGTGTAAAAATAGATACCTCTAAAGCACTTGAAAGCATTTTGTTCTCTTAAAATAGGTTAGAAAACATTCCCCCTTTTGTTTGCACTCTGAATTGGCTTAGCAAAAGCTCTTCTTGGAATCCAAGGTCTAGAATGAACTTAGAAATCATGTTGAAGATAATGAGGAAACTGAGGGATCGTAAAGTTTTAATGTCTTATCTAATTTCATACAACTTGCAGGGACACAGGGTATTTGATTAGCCAGTGAGTTTGGGGAGAGAGAAGGATTTATTAGAGGAGAGCCCTGTTCTCAAGAAGCATATCATCCAGTGTAGAAGTTTAGACATGTAAACCAAAACCTGTATATCAAAATCAAAAATGAAAATGTAGTCAAGACATGTTATGGGCAGTAGTGGTAGTTCAAAGACTGCTTTTAGAAATAGTTACCAGTCTTAACTAAGTACTAAAAGAGTGAGATTTAGAAATACAAAACTGAATGTCAGCTGTGAGGAGGAAGCATTGGTCCAGGCTACATCTGACCTTTGGTTTTATCCATCAGGGCTGTGATAAGTTTTCTAAGTCAAGTACAGTAAGAAAAACAAATATAGTTTCCCCAAGTCTGAAGGAGAATTCTGGGCTTCCTTCCACTGAATGTCCCATTGCCACTCTTAACTCTGAGCCATTCTCTAGAGATCATATTGCTGGTAGTTCTGGAAGGGATTGGAGTCCAACCTTCTTGGTCAGGGAGGAGACACCCATGATGCAGAGGGTGTTCTTTGTGGAGATGAAGGCATGGGCCTGAGTGGGCTACTGGCAAGTACTCTGAATTACTTGAGTCAAGATGGGGATGGGACTCTGAAATAATCTGTGAAAGAACGAGCAAGGCTTGTTGTGGGAGCAAATGCTCTTTTATTGATAAACAGCTCTGCATATTTATAGAGCCAGGGGTGGTTTGACAGTTGGCATGGGGTGCTTTTTGATTGGAGGGTAAGGATTAGGTGAGCCAGCAGGGCTAGTCTGTTTGGTGGGTAAGGATCATGTGAGCCAGCAGGGCTCTGATTGGTGGGTAAGGATCATGTGAGCCAGCAGGGCTCTGATTGGTGGGTAAGGATCATGTGAGC